TCCTTGAATTAATTTAGAGTTGGAAGCAGACATTAAAGTGACATAATTTTGGAAATGACCTTGCCGTGACCTTTGCCAGGTTTTGTTATTTTGTTTAGTGTTTTTGTGCTTTTTACTTTTTCCATCTTTTTTAGTTCTCTTGGAAGATGGCTCAACAGAAAGTGTCTCAGCGAGAGCAAAAAAAGTGAAAAAGGAAGAAGAAATAGTATAAAAAGGAAAAACATCACATAGGGCATTTAAGAACAACCAGACTAGAAGTCAGGCAGCTACCACTGATGCTAACTCATGCCTCTACAAGAACATCAGCTACTCACCAGCAGAAGAGCCACACATTCAACTGCATACACAGCGAGAAGTCAGCTTTTTAGTTATAGGTCATGCAAAAAAAGACACAGGAAATGGAAGAGAGATAAGGAACAGAAAAAACAGACCAGTTAGAGAGTTGCAAAGTCTGCCATATCGTTTTATGGTGGTGGAAAGAGCTCACGGCAAAGTCAACCAAGTGTCATGTTCCCTGTTGCTTTCAACTCTCTGTTTTTCTTTTATTTTTGCTGTTTTTTCTCAGTTCAAGACAAGTTTCATACCTGCCAATTTGGTTGGTCTCTCAAATGCTCATTTTTTGGCCTTTGTTTGGCTAGATAAGGTCAGACGGCTGAGGAAAGGCTGTGAAGGTGCCGAGGCTGGTGATGTTGGGTGCGCAAGGCCGACGCCGGAGCACGCATGCCGGTCACGTGGCCATCTCTCAGCCGGGAGCCAGGGAGTGGAGAGAGCAGGCATGGTGAGGACGAAGCACACCCAAGAGTCAGGGGGTTATCAAAAGCAAAGCATGGTACAGACCAGACGGGCTCCTCAGCTTTTCCCAGTGTCATCTCCTTTGGACAGCACTCCCCAAACCCACTAATGCACATATGAGACTGGTTACATCAACCATCAGAGAGATGCTGGAGAGGACAGGGTGGCACGGCCTTGTTGCTGGAGGTTTTTTTGGGGTGGGTGGAGCATGTTTCCCCTCACTGGGTTTGGAAATTCGGGATGATGCAGGAGACAGACAGTGGTTTTCACCCCTCTCCCACTCTGTTTCACGCCTGCGCTGGCAGTATGGTTGAGCCCAGAACTGTATTGATTAACACTTTACTTTTCATTGATATACTTTAGCTGCTGCTGAATGCGTTAGGTAAATGTGTCTCTGTGGTTGAAGGAAACATCTGATCTGACCCAGAGCGAAACAGGTCACGCGCAATTTGCTGTACCATACACCACATGCTTTGCTACCAGGCTTGAAATGACCAAGCATCTCCCCACTGACACACAGAGAAGATGTGATCACGTACAAATAGAAAAATGCAGTTACTTATTTGTTCTTAGTTGCAAGATGCTGCTTATCTGGATCATCCCATGTCTGTGTGTTGGTTTTTGCTAACCCATTTTGTACTGGCTGGTGTGAGAGCCTCAGAGCAATGCTGCTCTTTTCTACTTGTGGTGTCAGAATTGTAACCATGTAGGAACATGCAAAAGTTTTGTACAAGAGATCTTTGGCTACTCAAAGCCTTTGGGAAGAGAGAAAAAAGTGAAGGGCGATCAGTGGAACAGACAGCAAATGCAATTAACTTTTTTAATCAGGGTCCCTCACAGAACATTTTAAATCACATTTTTATCACACTTTCTGATTTAAAATAGAAGCATGGAGAAACACATGATCACTGCTCATGGGTTAAAGCATAGCTCATGTGCAGCAGCCATCATCCTGGAGGTCACTGTACTTACTACACTGCACCCCACCAGCCCTGCACCAGGCTGCACAGCCCACTTCCCAACTGCTGGGAAGCACCACAGGTGACATTTGATTCCTTCTATAGGTGTTTATAGGAGACCTCCAACAGCTCAAGCAGACCCTGGCTGAGAGCAAGGATAGGGAAAAAGTCTCTGAGTACCGCATGCAAAAGGACAGGCTGCTGCTAAAGGAGAAGTGAGAAACCCTCAAATAATACCCCTCCTACTAATAAATCCAGAGTGAAAGACCCTTTTAGTCACCTAAAGCTTCCCCAGGGCCCCTCTCAGGAGCACCCATGCTGCTGTGATGGGGTAGATATGCCTGCTCTGCTAGGAGGCATTAAAAATTACACTTCTCATAGTTTTATATGAAGTGATATAAATTATTTCACCTGCTTTTGGGCCCATTATGCTACTTTTCCCTACTTTATGTTGGGTCTATCATTAAGGGAAGGGCTCTTGAAACACTGGCTTCTTAATGTCATTTCCTATTTCAAAATCAGTATTTTAAATCCTTACTCCTACAAATATCCCCAAAGGAAAGCAGCCCCACCAGCCACATTACAGAGGACTAACTATTAAAAGCCCAGTTAACTTTTCCTGTGCAGAACAAGAATTGCTTATCACCGAGTTCAGATGTCACTGCACAATTGTGTTCCCATCACTGATGTGAAGGTCAGATAGCTTTCTGCTGAGCGTGAGGGAGAAAGGATGCTGCAGTGAAGACTCTGCCCAGGCAGAAACACACTCATAAAACCCATCTTTTTTTCACCAGAACATGGGAGGAGACTTGGTTATTTGTGCCACACACAGTTGATTGAATCTTTTTTGTTCTCCTTGGTGATTAAGTGCTAACTAGCACGTGAACTATAAGGGCATTCATTGATGGCTATCCTAAGCACAGAAACTCTATATCCACCCTCCTGCTTATATTGCCTAAGATGCCCAAACCACTTTCACTGGCTTTGTCACTCCTAAGGCAATTTCTAAGTGCTATAATTTAATTTTCCTTGCTCATTGACAGTGAAGAGAGCACACTAACCAGTTCATGCAATGAAATATTAACCAACAGACCAAGGGTCACTATCACAGCACCTTCAACCTATCCCATGCTCAGCAATGGGGACACGAACAATACTTGCATGTCTTGGCTAGATGTGGATGACCTAAACAGCTCAGTTTCAGAGGCATAAATGTGTAGCATGAACATCTCCCTCTCTTGCCACAACTCCTTTGAATTTGTGAGGAAAAAACCAAAGAGGATAGTCCCAGTTCCTGTGATAGGACCCATGCCATTGCTGTCTTTTTTAAAATTCCATTAGGAATTCCAGTTAGAAGGAACAATGCAAATCTACCTTTGTTAATTGTCTTCTCCAGTTTTACTGATTATGATTGCTGTCCCTTTCTCCTCCCAGATTACAGGTCTGAGGCTTTTCTTCCTGTAACCTCAGTTTACAAAACATGAAGGTATGTCACAAATGAGACAGAATAGCTTTGTTATGCAAAGACATAGTCCATGGAATTGCTCAGGAGAGGAACCGTGTTAGCAGGGGGGAGACAGAATGCTTAGGGGTTCAGCTGGGAGAGGGCCAGAGCCTGGGGGTTTTCCACCTGTGCTGGGGATATAATAGGGCAGATAAGATCCAACCCCATCATTTTTCCTGTTTGGATTGGACTTGCTCAGGGTTGTTTATCTGGGTTAGGTAGGTGCGTCCTGCAGGTGCAGTGGTGCTGATGCTGAATCTTTTTCCTGTTTGTGCTGACTGTGTAAGTAAGTGAACAGCAGCTGCCTCTGCCCTCCTGTTGCTCAGCATGCCTAGAAAAGCTTTGTGAAAAGGGATTGAAATAGCAAGCAAATGTCAGTGCTGTGCCAAAGCAGTGCAAGTCTGCTTTCCTGGTGCAAAAGGAAATTTGGAGATGTATAAATCCCAGTTTTCTGCAGCAGGGCACTTCAGGGGGGAGTCTGAGCTGGCACCCTGCCTGTCATCAGAGGGGTGCTGGGTGACAAACAGTCACCAGCAGAACTCAGCTTCCCCAGGAGAGATGCTGTAACCTCCACCTCAGAGGAGCTGAGTTCAGGTTGATATTTAAAAATGGCATTGGCATTCAGGCCCTTCCATCTTGTGTTCTGTGGCTTTGAATCACAGCTCTGGCACCCAAAGGTGACCAGTATTAAAGGCTACTTTTGGCTTCACCATTTGGGTGTCACAGCCCAAATTATACCTACCAATACAACCCAAACAACCAGGTGACTTCATCAGTTTACTAGAGCTCATAAACCTGGCTCAAAGAGCCTAGAAACCACAGCCTCCCCCTCCCCCAGCCTTTTTGGAACAAGGCAACTGATACCTAACAGCAATCTTTCCCTCGATTCCTTCCTCATCAACAGCTTTCTGCAAGCCTGACATCTTCAGCAGCAGGAGAACAAAGAGTCCCAGAGAGACAGGCAGGAGTGAGCCCTCCATGCTGCCACAGACTGGGCATAGATAAAATCATTAACAAGTCTGAGTATGGCCTCCAATTCCTTTTTAGTTAGATGAAGGCAACTAGGTGCTTGCCACAGTCATCATTAGTCCCCAAAACATGCAACACTAAGTGAATGGCCAAAATACACTAATGAGTCTTCTTACATCCTTTCTGTGTATTTAATTCACTTGTATTAATTACACTCTAATACCAGGGAGCACACGGGTCCTTGCTAGCTTTATTTCCAGATGGTATTTTGAGCCTAATGTCACAGTGGGAAGTTATAAAAGCTCTCCTAGATCAAATTGCCTGAGGAATCAAACAGCTCCAGTCTCACTCTGTAGCCTGAAGAAATAGGTTATATTCCTAGCCCAAGCCTGTCTTGGGTGTGCATGGCCGTCCTGCACCTCTGCACCATGATGCAACTGCTTCCTGAACATTTGTTTTAAGAGCCCACCTGTATCTCCTTTTTCTGGGTACAGGGTCCTGTTAACACCTTTTGAAAACACACAGGTCAGCTAGAAAGGAGAGATAAAGCACTCAACTTTACCAGTGCAAGGAATCATTACCTGGGCATGCAGACTTGGTTTTGAAGAGTGTGGAGAAGGACACATCTCCCCAGGATTTCAGTTTCAAGGGGGAGTGACTGACAAACGCACATTACTTCAGCACCCCAGTGAGCATTCAGTGATCTCTGAGTAGTTGCTGGCTATGCAGTATTCCATAAAGAAGTGTTTAGGCCTTCAAGACCTGGTTAGACTCACCGTGGTTTCATCTTCATGGAGCACCTGGTCATAGCCACTCAGCGCGACACAGAAAATGATCGCTGTGACGTCCTCAAAGCAGTGAATCCACTTCTTGCGTTCTGACCGCTGGCCCCCAACATCAAAGAGCCTATGGCACAGGAGAGGACCATCAGTGCCTGCTCTTTCTTAGTTACAAGGAAACTTTAGCATTCCTGGAATTTCATAGAATCATAGAATGGACCTTAAGATCATCTAGTTCCAACCCCCTGCCACAGGCAGAGATACCTTCCCCTAGACCAGGTTGCTCCAAGCCCTGTCCAATCCAGCCTTGAACACTGCCAGGGATGGAGCATACTGTCCCTGGATGGCTCCAAACACAAAGCAACAGGTCTTTCACCACTGGCTTGGTATCCAAGGAGGACCAGGAGGAGCAATTACAGCAAAGGATGTGGGGATCTGTGGGAGAACCTCAGCAGTGTGCTGTGTCCCAAATGGTCTGCAGAGGTGGAGACTGCATGCTCTTGAGCTTTATATGCTCTGAATACTGTTTGTGAGTGGCTTTCTGCCTTTCTGCCCTCTTCTCTCTACTGGCTGGCATCATGAAGGTCAATACAAAGCATGTGACTGACCCACTTTAGAGAAAAGATTTGGCCAAATATTTTTACGAGGCTTGATCAGACTTGAGGGGGTCAATCTTGTCTTATATCTCCCAACAAAGAGGTGCCATTTGGGTTAGAAGAAGCTACCATGAGCTTAAGATTGCATGAGCTTAAAGGCAGTGATTTTCAAGAAAGGATCATAGTGTTGACCCTCCAAAACACTGTGCCTTCTGCAGTGGGAGCCATCCATGCATTAACCAGCAGTTTAACAACTTCTCCTTTGGGAACCATGGGGAAACTCTGTGACAAATAGATGCACTGAAAATTTACTGTGCAGTTTTAGACTAACCTGAAATGGAGGTTTTTAAATGTGAAGTGGGTTTCTACAATGCCAGTTGTTTTGACCCTGGTTCGGAGTATATCCTGCTCTGTGGGCTGATAGTCTGCAGCTCCGATTCGATCTAAGCTGTCTAGGTAACTAAGAGAAAAAGTGAAAAGAAAACAGATAAAAATAAGACACACATTAATCTTTGTTAATCTCAGATGAATACTTCTGCTTCCTATTAATCTTTTTCAATCTCATTTTTTATGGCTTAATGTATTGTTGTAAATCCTATCCTTACAAAAAACAAAACCCGCTAACCTATGCATAAAATCCAATAGTGAACTGAAAGCAGGAAATTAAGTGTGCATGTGTTGTGAGCCCTGATTGCAATCTATGAAAATGCACAGCTGTAATATTACTTGTTATTTTTATTCCCTGATGGATGAAGGTCCTAATCTGTCCATTCTGCTGGATTCTGTACACATACGCTTTTCTGCAAGGGTTTATTTAGGTAAGAGGTTGAAGCATATAGGTCTTGCTCCCAGAATAGACAGGTTGAGTTACCTTTGGGAGATGACTGTCTCTCTGCTGGGAAGAGAGGGAGACTTGGCAGCTTGCTTTGGGAAGATGCCTTGCCTTCAGTCAACTCAGATGAAGGCAGATGAATCTGCCTGATTGAGTCACTGCTTCAGTTCGAAACCCAGCATAGGGCTGGGACTGCAGGAGATGCAGCACTTGGACAAAATCCAGGAGCCTGAATAGATGGTAGCAATCTGGGAGTATAAATTGTTTTTTCAGGGAGGACTAGAGGGGAGATTTAGCTTTCTAACACACTTGGATATTTTTAAAAAATATACCCTTATTCTGCTCTAGGATTAAGTTCTATGAACATTGGCAATGCCTCCATACACTGAAACTTTGGGTAGAAAGTCCTGTCTTTCAGCATGAAATGCTTTTGTAGAGGAACCCAACAACTGTGCACGTATGACCACAATCCAATTTTTTTTCCCAAGACAATTTTTCAAAACAACTCAGCCCAGATAAATATAATTTATAAAGAAAAGAGGAATTTGGATTATAATTTAATATGAATTATAAACACAAAGCTGCACCACACAGTAAAGTCTTACTCATCACCATCGAGCTGCACACAGACACTCCAGTTCCTCTTGGAGGGGGTTTGATGTGCATTACAGGGCCTAAATGCCTACTTCTAGCCCCAGGAGCATAAATCTAATGCACATGAGAGGCTTTCAGCATACTGTGAACATAATAAAGCAGGTCTGTGCATGAGCAGTGGTCTTGCCCTTCGAACTCTGTGCTCCTGTCAGTGTGTACGTCACCCAAAGGGACAACAGGACAGGAGGTGACACACCGAGGTGTGTTTTTAACACAGTGTGGCTCTAGTCCTGATGAGTTAGTTACCCAATCACACCAACATGGCAGCAAGCACACTTCCCCCTGTTCCTTGCCAAAGCTTGGCCTGAAGGTGATGACCTGTTTTGCTGCTGGAGATGCTTTCCCTGGTGCATCAGAAAGCAGGAAAAAACTTCCCATTTGTGTCCTGGAGGGAATGCTCTGAGCCAGGGCTCTGGAGCTGGATGCCTGGTGTGCTGGGGCCGTGCAATCTTCTACTCAAGAAAACTCATTGCCAGTGGCTTTCATGCCTACCCTGCTAGCCGGGAAACACAGACAACCAAACTCTATGCTAAGGTGAAAATCAAACCTCACTCTGCTCCCATCACGTATTTTGGCTGCCCATCACATTTATCATTAATTTTTGCTAAAGAATTGCAAGAATCACATCACCCAGAGAAAAGTATTTAAGCTAAATGGGCTTATTTTTGTTTCAAGCATTTAAAGCCATTGTGGTTTTGTGACAAATTCTCCTTTAATAGACTTATGATGGGCCCTGGATGGATGAATGTGGCTTCATTTGAAATCAGATCCTCCGCTGTGATGCTGAAGCCATGATCACTCATCTATTCATAACTGGTGTCAACTCCTGTTATTTAAGAGGCAACTGTATTTCTTCACATGTCCCTGCAGACCAAGGCAGCTCTGCAGTGCTGTTATTCAGAGATCCAGGCTCTCTGTCCTCATTTTCTCCATCTTCATTTTCTGCATTTTCCTATCATTCAGCTCTCTTCAATTTAACATTCCCTATTAATTATTCTTGCCTTTGAGATCCTCCTTTAATGCTGGGAGTGCAGCAAATGAAGAAATCGACTGCAAACTGGTCAAAGGATTCGGCACCACAACAGCACAGTGATAGAGGAGTTTGTTACTGGAATTGCTGCCTTCAACCTGCAATGATGTGCTTGTGAACAGCAGCATCCTTTGAACCCCAGGCCATGCGCTAGGATATCAAGGGGTTCTCAGTCTCATGGCATGCACAGCCTACAGCTCTTCCACGTGGCATTCCCCTTGGCTGCCTAACAACAAATTAGCTGCATACAACCTGGCTCTGAGGCTTGGAAAGCCTCACCTCCCTTTTGTCCATGGAGGTGATGCCTGTCTCCACCTGAGTTACTCTGGGAAATCAGAGGTTTGGGGGAACTGATGCAGCCTGTCAGCCTCTCAATGGGGCAGGATGATAGCAATAGAGGGAGGACAGCTGAGAAGGATCCATCACATCCACCCTCTCTTCCCTGACAGCACCCAGCTTCCAGACTCAGATGGGATATCTCCATAGGAACCTTGGCTGAGGAGCTTCTAACATCTATCTGGGTAAGGGCATTGCTTCCCAGTGCTTAACCAGTGCAGCAACAGAGGAATACTCAGTATCCCCAATACTGTCCAGGCTTCAGGTGAGATAAGCTGTGCGAGTCCAGTGCCTTGGAATCACTCCCATGTCAATGCCTCCAGCCCAGCTGCTGGGCACCCCAGCTCCAACACCTTTTCTGTTAACTCCCCTCTTTATCTCTTTCCTCATGTCTAGTCTTTTCCTCATGTTTAGTCTTCTCCACCATTCTCCATGTATTTCTCAATGACTTATATTCTTTCAGTTGACTGGGTCTGCTTTTTGTCTGTTCATGGTAGTCTCAATGAGGGTCAACCATCCATTTCTATGAAGGTATACAACTCCAGGACTGCTATTAGTGCTGTTAGAAACCTGCTGACAGTGGAGCTGATAGCTTTCTATACTGTAAAAGAAAAAAAGAAAGCAAGAAAGAAAAGGAGGGGCTAAAAATAAGCTATGGGGAGTTTGGGATAATGAAGGGCTTGTTCTGGGAAGGAAGCCTGATTAGAGGACTCAGACTCCACTCAGCCCAAATGGGAGAGATGTCAACAGTCCCAGCTCACCATGGCGCCGCAGTGAGCACACTGGGCTCACCCCAAGGCTGGCCCACCCCAGCGCTCCTCATATCCTATGGCAGCTGGTTCGATTCGGCCCCAAGGCCATCTCATGAGCTAGTTACTCAGAATTACTCTAACCCTGGAAAGTAGACACCACAGATGAAACCAGCCCCATGGACTTTAACCTTTTGATCAGCCACTGGCCATAGAGATTCATCAGGGTGTGCACGAAGGGCCAGGACATCTATTTACACACTTGTAGCATTAGGGGAAGTAGCATTAGCATCTTAACATCGCCATTTCTAAGCTGGAAGGAAAAAAAAGAGAGCTGCAGTGTTTTTGTAGTGCTAGGTGTCTGTCTGCAGCAGGGATAGCACTGGGAAGGGATTCAGGTCTAATGCTACAAAGGAAAGCATTAGTTAATGAGATCTGTATTCTCAAATCAAGTTGCTAGAGGATGCCCGTAGCTGGATGACAGCACAATTACGTGTAATGGGGTGGGAGTTGACTTCAATCAGGGGCCCTATTTATCCACTCACTGTGCTGAGGAAGACAGGTCACTAGTAATGGAGTGGCAATCGTGTTTCTGGATCTTCCCATCTATCCATTTTCCTGACCTATTAGCAAGTTTTCAAATCCCTTTTAAGCATCCCTGCCAGAAACCATGGGTACCAAAATCAGCCAGTGCTCTGTCGTGGACAGATGTGACACACAGCTAGCAAAAGCAAAACCTGGAAGTTTTACCTGTGGCTGCATGCTAGAAATGTCTTCGTTATCCCAGACATAGATGGATCTCTTGGGAATGTAAAACCTGTGCTATGCAAATCGGCTTTCTGGTCCTTCTCAGCACCTGTCAGGCTGAGGCTTCTTCAGAGAAGAGAAGAACAGCTTTCTTTGTGGTATTGCAGTATTTTGGTTTCAGTCCAGGCTGGATCCAGAAGCAGAAGACGCGTAAGGGAAAATGAAGTTTCCCATCCCTTTAGAAAATATTCAGCCGAATCATTGTTAGGAGGAGATCTGTTTGTCATATATCAAATTAGTTGGATTGTTCCCACTAGGGAATGCTGTCACCTGGGCCAGGCTGTGCTGGTGAGACATACTGCTGACCACCCACTTTTCCTTTCTCCCTTTTCTATGGGCATGAGCAACCTCAGAGAGGTCTGTAACTGTAGTCCCTGTCACCACACAACCACCCCTGGAGGGTTATGCTCCTGCAGCCCACCAGACAACAGCTTGGCTTGTTCCCAGGGCTCTGCAGAAGTGGGCCTATCCCTGTGTTCAGCTGAAGATGCATCAAGGATGTATGCATGATAAAATCAGTTTGGGATACTCTGTACAGGACAGCTTGGCTGCAGAGCTGGTGTGGTGTCCTGGGTTCATCTGTAACAGTTGTTTTTCTCCTTCTTAGTAGGTGTTGCAGTGCTGTGTTTTCAACTTTAGCTTGAGAACAATGCTGATAACACATCAATGTTTTTAGTTGTTGCTAAGTAATGCTTACTCTGATCAAGGACTATTCAGTCTCATGCTCTGCCAGTGAGGAGGGGCATGGGAAGCTGGGAGGAAGGAGAGACAGGACACATGACACAAACTAGCCAAAAGCATATTCCATACCACAGCATGTCATGTCCAGTATATAAACTGGAGGGAGTTACCCACAAGACCCAGATCGCTGCTCAGGTTGGGCTGGGTATCAGTCTGTGGGTGGTGAGCAATTGTATTGTGCATCACTTATGTTTACTGTTTTCCCCTTTTAGTTTTATATTCTCTCCCCTTGTTATTTCCCTTATCATTATTATTATTGGTGGTAGTAATAGTAGCTTTGTATGGTACCTTAGTTACTGGACTGTTCTTAA